TGGGGTTTCGGGGGCTACGGGCGGCTGGGCCACGCCGAGCAGAAGGACGAGATGGTTCCGCGGCTGGTGAAGCTCTTCGACTTCCCGGGGCGCGGCGCCGCCCAGATCTACGCGGGATACACCTGCTCCTTCGCCGTCAGCGAGACCGGTGGGAACGCCGGGACCGGGAATACCGGGATCGGGGGTTTGGGAATGCCACAGGGGCTGGCAGCGGGACGGGTGGGAATGCCGGGATGGGGAATGCCGGGATCTGGGATCGGGGATTTGGGAATGCCACAGGGGCTGGCAGCGGGATGGGTGGGAACGCTGGGATTGGGAATTTGGGATTTGGGGTTTGGGAATGCCACAGGGGCTGGCAGCGGGATGGGTGGGAACGCCGGGATCTGGGATTTGGGATCTGGGAATGCTGGGGGCACCATCAGTGAGACAAGTGGGGATTTGGGAATGCCACAGGGGCTGGCAGCGGGATGGGTGGGAATGTCGGGATCGGGAATGCCGGCGTCGGGGGTTTGGGAATGCCACAGGGGCTGGCAGCAGGATGGGTGGGCATGCTGGGATCTGGAATTTTGGATTTGGGAATGCTGGGGGCACCATCAGCGAGACAACTGGGGATTTTGGAATGCCACAGGGGCTGGCAGCGGGACGGGTGGGAATGCCGGGATTGGGAATGCCGGGAGTGCCAGGGGGCTGGCAGTGGGATGGCTGGGAATTCTGGGATTTGGGATCTGGGAATGCTGGGGGCACCATCAATGAGACAGGTGGGGTTTTGGGATTTGGGAATGCTGGGAATGCCACAGTGGCTGGCAGCTGGACGGGTGGGAATGCCAAAGGGGCTGGCAGCAGGATGGCTGGGAATGCCGGGATCTGGGATTTGGGATCTGGGAATGCTGGGGGCACCATCAGCGAGACAGGTAGGGATTTGGGATGGTATTCCCATGGACCTGGGATTTGGGAATTCCGGGGAATCCATGCCCTGACAGGTGGGATTCTCACGGATCCAGAATTCGGGGATTCCGGGGGTAGCTGTTACCTGACAGGTGGGATTCCCATGGATTTGGGGATTCCGGGGGATCCGTGCCCTGACGGGTGGGATCCCCATGGATTTGGGAATTCCAGGGGATCGGTGCCCTGACGGGTGGGATCCCCATGGATTTGGGGATTCCGGGGGATCCGTGCCCTGCTGGGTGGGATCCCCATGGATTTGGGGATTCCGGGGGATCCCTGCCCTGCTGGGTGGGATCCCCATGGATTTGGGAATTCCGGGGTTCCCCTGCAGGCGGGTTGTTCTTCTGGGGCGCCACCAACACGTCCCGGGAGTCCACCATGTACCCCAAGGCGGTGCAGGACCTGTGCGGGTGGAGGATCCGCAGCCTGGCCTGCGGGTGAGTGCGGCTCCGGGAATTCCGGCCCGGGACGGGGGAGCCGGAGCCGCGGGACCAGGGATGGCCTCCCTTGCAGGAAGAGCTCCGTCATCGTGGCGGCCGACGAGAGCACCATCAGCTGGGGGCCCTCGCCCACCTTCGGGGAGCTGGTACGCCCCGAAAACCCCAAAGGAAACCCCAGAAACTCCAAAGGAAACCCCAGAAACTCCAAAGGAACCCCAAAAACCCCAAAGGAATACCAAAAACCCAAAGGAAACCCCAGAAACCCCAAAGGAATCCCAGAAACCCCAAAGGAACCCTAAAAACCTCAAAGGAACCCCAAAAATCCAAAAGGAATCCCAAAAACCCCAAAGGAAACCCCAGAAACCCCAAAGGAACCCCAAAAACCCCAAAGAAACCCCAAAAACCCCAAAGGAAACCCAGAAAACCCAAAGGAATCCCAAAAACCCCAAAGGAAACCCCAGAAACCCCAAAGGAA